TGAAAAAAATGAGTAAAAAATTGGGTTCTGTAGGTATTTTTGAAAGAAAAATCAGAAATCAGGAGTCAAAAGGGGCCCTGGGCCTAATTTGAGATTTTTTGGAACACGTGCAGGTACCAGTAGTGCGTTTCAGTTCCCTGGGAAAAATTCAGGGAAAATTAGGGACAGCCTGTAGGCGCACTGCGAAGCCGTGTTCGGACCCCGAAACGAGTAAGGACCCCTCACCCTATTTCCTATTACGGTATTAAAGTTCAACAATGATAAAACGGTATTTCTTGAATCAACAAATGTGTGAAATCACTTAAGGTCGCTAATGGAGCCCGAGTCTAGTGTGTTTGTCGGTTAACTGTTATTTGGCCTATTTTACAGCTTAAAATGCAGTATGAGGTTTGATGTTTTTATTTTATAGTTTCGTGTGCATATTTTACTGTTTTATTGATTATGAATTGAATGACTGAGATATTGATGCTGTATGTTGTCTGTTTGGCATAAATTACCGTTTTACTTGTTTGTATGTGGATTAATGATGCTGACTGAGGAAAAAGAGAATGAAAGATTATGTAAATGGGTAATTGTATAATGGGGTCAGCCTGACTAGATATCCTGGGAAATGGTGGACGGACCGGATCCGTAGGGAACCCTACCGGGATTGTGGTCTCCCATACCGGACGGGGTATGGAGATCTTATGTGTTTTGGCGCCCATACCGGACGAGGTATGGGGACGGCCCGTTTCACCCTCATACCGGACGGGGTAATGAGGTTTATAGTTTTGGCGCCCATACCGGACGGGGTATGAGGACGGCCCTGGAATCTGATTTCAGGTGTTAAGGGTTAACGGGTAGCGGGACCCCTATGGATCCCCATGGATACTAGTGGGCTGGTAAATGAGTAAAATATGTTGTGTAACGATTGAATTACAAAAGGCTTGATAAGTATTATGTTATACAGTTTATATATGATTTCATGATTATGATAATGTTATTGCTTTCGTATACTGTTTTATGAATTTCACCGAGGTAAGTGGATGGTGAAGGATTTATTATTGATAAAAGAATTTATTGTAAATTATGTTCCATTGGTCTTTTTGTGTTTTCTACCCACCTTTACCTCCGTAACGGTGAGATATCGGATGTCTTTACTGGGCTAGTGTAGCTCATTCCTTATTTAATCATTTCAGATCAGGAAGACATTGTTCCCGAGCCGGTTCCGCAGGAGGACGACGAAGGGGACGCCTAAAGACTCCATAGCCATATTCGTAGCTTTTACTTTCAAGTTTCTCCTTTAGGTAGTTTGATCTTTTATATTTTGTGAGCACGTTTTTGGTTTTAGTGTAAGGGATGTTAATCGAATTTTTAACTTCGCTTCCGCATTTGATATTTTTAATATACATTTCATTTTAAATTTCCGGGGCCGTTACAGACGCCCAGTCAACAGCTCCGACCAACCAGGACGTACTAAGTGGCAGAGGCGCTGACGCTGGAGGCCACACGGGGGGAGCCACGTGGGCAATCCGCGTACGCGCAATCGAACGGCTGAGGTCCGTTCCCGCGCGCACTGACTGCCCAGAGTGAATTGCGATGGACGGCCCATATTGGATCGCATGAGCGGTTCAAATTCACTCCCTATTTAATCGCGATCGGATGGCACAGATCAAACGCGATGAACAACCCAAATCAAAAGCGGATGGGTATAAATAACCCCCATCCGCACCAAACCCTAACCCTAACCGCCAGAACCCCTCGGTGGAGAAAACAACCTAGCCGCCGGGGAGCCGACCGCCGCCACCCGCTGCCGCACTAGAACCTTTTTTTACCGCCAAAAAAAGATAAAAAAAATTTCTTTTGCATGAAATTCAATTTTAAGCCCACCTATGACCAAATTGGAGTGAAAGAATCGGCTAATTAGCCGGAAAATACCGACAAAACCTGGCAGTGGCACAGCATGAAATTTCACAAATTGCCTCAGATGAGGCCCTTACCGATTCCTGTTTCGCGTAATTTTTCTACCGTTGTGATCAACGTTTTCTTCTCTAAAGGTTGATCAAAGTGAAACACTCAACGACAACGTGAGCTGAAGGAGCCATCGGTGAGTTTTGGTTTTTCGTATTTTTTCAGCCAATCGAAGCCCTTTAGAAGCAGACCGCCGTTGTGCCAGATTTTTAAAATTGACCGAGTGGGCCGTGGGACTGATTTTGGGTTTATTTGGAACATTTGTAAGTATTATAAGCGCGTTTCAGTTCTCGAAGAAAAACTACCCGTAGGCACAGTAAACCGTTTAGTTTTTCAGCATCAAATCGAGTAAGGATACATCACCCTATTCCCTATCATAGAATTGAAATTTAAATAAATAATAATACGGTATTTTGTAAAAATTAAATAGATGTGCATAATTAATTACGGATTGCTAATGTAACAACCTCGAAAAATTAAAAAGGAAATACATATAATAATCTGAGTGCAAAAGTAAAATAAAAGATTAAGATTAATATCCCTTACACAATAACTTAAAAGTACTAAACAATATTACGGAATAAGTTCTCTAAAAGAAATATGAGAAATAATAAAAATAAAATGAACTATAAGGTATCTAGCATCTACTCGCCGTCTTCTTTGTAGATCGGGCTCGAGGACCAGGTCCTTTTGATCTGAAATTGTTAAATAAGGAATGAGCTACACTAGCCCAGTAAGGACATCACACTATTCAACGTCACAGAAGTAAAGGTTGGTAGAAAATTAAAACAACCAATGGAGTAGTAGACTTAAACAAATTCATTTATCAATAATCAAACCATTTACCGTCCACTTACCGCAGTGAAATTTATAAAAATAACCTATGAAAACAATAATATTATAAATATCATGAATTCATATATAATCTGTTACATAGCACATATCATACTTTTATATTCAAATCATCAAACAACAATTGCCCCTTTTTATCAGCCTACTAGTATCTATGGAGATCCATAGGGGTTCTCGCTACACGTGAACTATTTCCTTTAACAAGCTTAATTCCAAGGCCATCCCCATACCCCGTCCGGTATGAGTGCCAAAACAATAAACCTCAATACCCCGTCCGGTATGAAAGTGAAGCAGGCCGTCCCCATACTCCGTCCGTATGGGCGCCAAAATAATAAAGTCTTCATACCCCGTCTGGTATGAGACAACGTTCACGGTAGGGTTCCTTATAAACCCGGTCCGTCCACCATCTCCTAAGATATCTAGTGAGACTGTCATCTTGTCCATTTATCAAATCACACCCCTTTCCTATTTTTCCTTAGTCTCCGTTACCAACTCAAACATGAATACATAAACAAGTAACGTGCATCCAACAAAGCAAGCATATCTTAGATCCCCAAAATCACATAGTGGTCATGTAAGACAGTAACACATGCATTCAAAATCATAGAATAAGTAAACCAGATAACATAATGCATTTAAACCGTAAACTAAATCAAACAGGAATTGACAGAGAAATATGTCTGGTTCGGGCTTTATTAGCAACCGTAATTAATTATGCATATTTATTTAATTTGTACAAAATATAGTATTATCATTTATTCAAACTTCAGTTCCATGATAGGAAATATGGTGAAGGGTCCTTACTTGATCTGACGCCGAAAACTAGATTTTCACTGTGCCTAGGAGCGGTCC